TATGAAATTACAGCTGAGACCTCAAGTATTATAACATATTTTGGATTATTTTGAAAAAAAATGCCTTAATGCTATTTCTTAGTCTATGATTACGATAATGGAGTTAATATCATAAACAAAAGTTACACACCAAAATGAATGAGCAGTTCTTTAAAAAAATTCCACCTGTCCATAACATTCTTTGCTTACTGAAGAATACCTAGTACTCACCAAGATGGATATATGGGTGGATTCATCCCAAATACTCCCAACTTGCTGAGGAATAATACAATATCCATGCTTTATTCAGTTATGGCATGCTTTTACAGTTGTTCAGGAAATAAAATAACAGATGACAGAGTTGTAAAAAACAGCAGCAATTCTGTCACTTTGATTTTATTTAAATTAAAAATGTCAACTACATCACTATTCTTTGTTTATTTGGGTGCATATAATCATCTTCAGATGTTTTTTCTTGGAAAATATGCAGGCACATATTTGCATGTGATGACAAGCATAATGGCTATAAATTATTCTGCATACCACATTACTACAACTAAAACAAGGAAATCTAAATATTTTCTGATTTTTTTGTACTAACAGATGCCATATGAAGCCATTTAATGCTTTTTAAAGCCATATAACCTTTCATTGGAAAATGGTCACAAGATGATATTTTAGCAATATTTTATTATTCACAATCATTACATAAAGTGATAGTTGTCAGATTTAAAAATATTTGGCTTATTAAATTAACTACAGGCAAAGCAGGAATAAAGAAATATAATTCTAATTTCAGAGCAGCTGCTTTCTTGTGATATAATGAGAGATTAACCACTTCTGGCTTTGTATAAATAAGAAAGGGAAAAAATGGCTGAAAAGCTTTAATATAGTAAATTATACCATTTTATATTGATTTATTAAATAAGTCTGAAGTAGTATTATGAATCATTCTTGGAATAATTGGAAAGCGTATAATACCTTCATGATATCACTCATTCTATTTTAAGTATCTGATGCCATTGATTATTTCATTAGCTTCTAGTTTTCCATTTAAATGCCACAGCAGGCTAATGCCAAGAGCTGTGCAGTCTTATTTTCCCTCATTTCATTATTTATTTTGAACATAGCCATTCATTCTGCATACATGGTAGCATGAATTTTGGAATTGGGAACTAGTATGGTGTAGTAGATAAAGGCACCAGGCTAGAAACCAGAGTTTGTGCGTTCTAGTCCATCTTTAGACATAAAGCCAGTTGGATGACTTTGAACCAGTCATTCTTAGTCCTAGGAAACAGACAAGGACAAACTATTTCTGAAAAAATTGCCGGGCTTTATCCGAACAGCAGTCAGGGGCACACAACATACATACATACAGAGAGATTTTTGAGTCACCAAAGAAATTATTATTCTGTGGAGTTTTAAAAGAAGTTCTAGTCATCACTAGTTTCCTCTCAGCAGCCTTTAGAAAAATAGATTTTTTTGTTAAAAAAGAATTATTTTGAATTCTAATTCATTTGTGCAGAGGCTAGCATGTTTTATAGCATCATGGGGATTGGTGATGCCTATAAAGATTAATAAACGCTCAGCTCTGTGAATAACGAATTGCAATGTATTTTGCTGTGTTTTTATAGTTGCTTAAAGAAAATATAAATTCTACAATTTGAAACAAACATTGTAAATATAATTTAAAATTGCAGTATGAAATAGTTTTGAATTAAAAAGCAAGATGTTCTGAAACAGGAGATTGTAGATTTTTAAAAATTATATTTATACTCTGAGAATGTTTGTATATGTATTACTGTAGACATTTCTTATCAAATATACCTGTTCTGGTAAATTACAGGCATAAAACTTTCATATCCTCTTTAATCAATCTTGTGTGCTGTGTTGGCTTTGCAGGTCATGCACCTACACTTTGCATTAGTTTTGCAAGTCAATACTGGAGTGGAAAAAAGAGGATTTCAGGCAAATAGTAAATAGATTTGGTTTCCCCAGTTGAATGTTGAAGATATTGAATAATTTATGAAATTCAACTCTGATGGTCATGTAGTCCATCCTGAAAAAAATTGTTCTCTGCTCAGAAACCAGTGGCTGATAGCCCAGTTTGCAGGAGATATTGAAAATTGTGGTGGCAGTATTGTTTTTCTAGACCTATTTCCATATAGGTAGAGATCTGCTTTTCAGCGTGAAACAATATTGTCAACCTCTTTATTCAGGCCTTTGCTGTGACTTTTCTTGGGAGAAGAATAATGGATATGCAGCTCTGCTACATTTACTTGACCTCTTAGCTGTTTTTGGTTTCATTGACCATAGTATCATATCACAGATTGCCTCTGAGAATTAAAGTTTAGTGTCAGGGTTCCGGCAGTTACTCCAATTAAATCATGAGCCTTGAGCCACACTCCCCAAACTACGTCTGGCACTAACCTGGCTAGCCAACTCTTGAGATACGTAATTCACTGTCACCCTTGATCCTGCTTTCCCCCCCACCCTTCTGGGTGTATCATCCAATGAAAAACGTCCATAGCCAAGAGTCATCAATCATGGCAGAAGCGTCAGCCATCTAATCAGTCTTTGAAGAAAATATGAATGGAATGTACTTTCAATTCCACACTATTGCCTGAACTCCCCCCCCCCCTCTTTCTGTTGTCAACTATAAAACGTGTATACAAAATGTTTTATGAGTTGACATTTGGGCCACATTTCTACAGTACTTCCTGTACTACTGGCAGGGACAATTGACAATTAACATTAGTGAGTGAATTTTTAAAAATAACTTCTTTCTTGTCCTCAGTGCTATTTAATGTCTATGGGCACTCTAGGTGCAATTATCAGGTGATTCAGGAGAGTCTGAGGTTCTAGGATATCTGGATGCTGTGATGGGCTGGATGAGGCTAAAATAATGATAGCATGATGTCCAATGAGGGGCTATTTTCATAGTCCCGAGAATAGGAAATTTATTTATAGATAGGATTACACTTCTCCTTCTACATATTTAATCATTAACCATTATTTACACCTAAATCAGATGTCAAATCTTGAGTGTCCAAGTATTTAAATCCCTTCTAAAAACTGCTATTAAACTGTATTTTCCAGTTCTCTAGTATAGAATGTCACATACACACATACACACAAATATGTGTGTGGGGTATATAATGCCACATATTTTATTAAAAGACCATCAAATCAACTTCAGCTTGATTTCAAATTCTTAATCTGTTAGTAGAGATGAGAATTTATAGTCATGTTACCATTCACGAGCTTCTCATGCATGCATTGAATTAGTGTTAGTATATTTGCAAATAACCATGATGAATTGCTATCTACATTTATCATTGTGCGTTATCTAATACTTTTCAGTGGAGAAGCTATGCGATAAATCTAAAATGTCTGTTTTTACAGCAGGTTTTCTGCCACTGATTTATCATTTCTTTCCATATATTCGTTGCTATCTCTGAGCAACCATATGATGGGAAAATTATTTTCTGTATTTTTCACTTTTTTTATTTAAGAAATTGCTAGTTTAGAACTAGCATGTAAAACATGCCATTTAAACTATTAAGTCCAAAGCATTGCTCTGTTCAGAAATCCAAATTAAAGCATTTCTGACATCTAGCCTCCATTTGTTTCAATGAAGAGAAGCCCACCATTTCTCTAGATAGGTAGTTTTATTGCCAATTTCTTTCATGTTGAAAAGGTTTTTTTTCCCCAGCTAGAATTTGTCTCCATGATAGCTAAATCCACTATTTCATGTTTTACAATGTAGAATAATGAAAAACAGCTCTTTTAACCTTCAGCATGATATATTTCCAATTATTTGAAGGATGTTATTTCATTCTCCCTCAATTTTTCTCTCCTGAATGCTAAACATTCAGTCTCTCTTCGTAGCATTTAGTTTCTTGTCTCCTGTTCATCCTCACTTACCTTGACTGAATCCTCTTAAACTATAGTGCTCCATAATAGTATTACCAAAACAGAATAAAATGGGAAGGTTATTTCCCATGATTTTAAAATTATATTTCGATTGATACTACCTAAAATTGTACGTGCCTGTTTTATGCTAGTTCATATTCAGTTTGCAGTTAATTACTATTCCAGGATCTCCCTTTTTATTGTTTATAATAATACTCTATGGGATATGCTGATCTGAGAGAGTGATTGGCTGAAAGTCTTCCAGTGAATTTCCATTTCCATGGCTGAGGATACATTTGAATCTTGTCTCCCAGATAGTAGTTTGTCATTCTAACCATTACATCACATTGGCTCCCTTTACTAAAGAAATTAAATAAACAAAATGTTAATCTAGCAACATTTGCTCTTTATAAATCTCTGGTGACTTCTGGAAAATAAAGCATGTTTATAAAACTGTTTTTAAAAGTGTCTAACATCCCCAGGTAATTCAAGACCATCACAACTGTATGTAAAATCTAAATTATTTGCCAACCTCTATTGAAAATAATAGAGTCATACGGTATTAAAATCCCATTAAACAATTGTGACAAGCAGTAGCAATGTGTCAATTTTAAATTTTAATATGATGAATGTTGATAAGTATAACCAATGCAAACAAACGTTCTTTTGGGGTCTTCCAAAAGTTTATACAAGTAGAAAGTGGTCCTGCGAGAAAAAAGTTTAAAAGACATTGTTTATAAGGTCATTCTCCCATACGCTGCTTTGAGAGTCCAGGAATGGAATGGGTTAAGCTCCTCCTTCTGACATCATAGACCTGAGTCTGCCACTATAAAAAGCCAGCCTCTGGCTGGCCTGCCCATCTTTTGGCTCAGCTTCTTGTCTGAGAGCATAGTCTCTGGAAGAAGTGTTTTTAAACAGCTAAAGGAAAGGTTTGAACTCAGAGAGACAGCAATAAATTTAAAATCCAGCTCCTGGGGATCTGGTAGAGCTCTGTCTCCAGGAGAGTGGGGATCCGCTCTCCTGGCCCTGCAGCGCAAGGACTGCGGACCCAGGGAACGTTCAAAGGAACCTACCACGTAGCCCCACTGATCACAACCTTGTTGTTGATGCCGCTGGCCAAGTTGACTCCGGAGCTTCGTTCCTGCTGCTTCTCAGCTGTTCCCGATAGCTCGGGGCCTGGTAAGAGCCTAAGGAGTGAGGGTGGTGGCTAGGCCGTCTCAGGGCCACCCCACCTGGTGGGTGGCCATTTTAGAGTTGCTGGGCAGCTATTTTGTTTTGGGGGAAAGTGCCTCCCCAAGGCCTCACCCTGACTCACCTGGACTAGGCAATGGGAAGCACCTACATGGGGGAAGCTCAGAGCAGCCTTGGTGTCTGCTCTGTTAGCCAGATGGAGAGGGAAGTCCCGCAACCTGGCCCTAAAGGACTGGAAGACTGCCAAGACTCCCAAGCCCTTTTGAGGAAAAAGAAAAGACAAAGAGGCCTTTCTGCTAACAGAGAGGCTGTGGCACTTAAGGAACAATTTGCAAAAGGCTCAGATGCAGGCTCAGATTCAACATGCTTCTCATTCTGGGGAGGTGCACATTAGCCCAGCAGTTTCTTCCAAGTGGGGTGAATCTGCTCGCAGTCACCTGTTAGCTTGGTCCCCAGAGAGAGTGGAGGAAGAACCATTTCCCCAGGACCTAAGCAGATCAGGGCCTTTCTCTAGACAGGCTACCTGGGGGCCTGGCCCTTCCTTCCTTGGTGGTCAGGGGGCTCAAGGGGGGAATAGGCCTAGGCATGAAGCATCCTACACCCCCACAACTGTGAGCCTACGTCCTGAGGAGAATAGGCCCGAGAACTTTAGGGAAATGGTCTTTGTAGCTATAAGGCAGGGCCTAGCAGAAGAATTTAAACAATTCCTTCACCCACAAGGGGAAGGCATGACTTGTTACATCAGGGTTTTCCCCAAGGGGTCCCCTACTCTCAGAAGGGTGTTCCCAGACACTCTGTTTCCAGCCGTCCCATTCGGAGTGTGGGGAGGAAAAAGAGGAAGACTATTCCAAGGCCTCTGACCATAGTTGCTCTACTCATTCTGAGGAAGAGGAAAGGAGAACTCATAGACCCCAATATGTCTGAGGAAGAGGACTTTAGAGTTGATCACCCCACTCAGCAGGGGTTTTCAGGCCTTTCTTATTCAAGCCTCTGTTACACAAGGCTTTGGTTACTGTACAGCTAAGCCCTGAGGAGGTGGCCCCAGACCCATAGGTTACATTTGGCCACACTGATTCATTGTTCTCCAAGCCAGTGGTGCAAATGGAGGTCCTCCCCTCCCCACTGATTTTCCTTGATCTAGTGAAGGAACAGTGCACCTCTCCAGGGGCGGGGCCTTGCCTGTCTGCTCATGACAGACAATTCTATAAAGTGGGCCTGTCCCTGGCCAATGCCCAGCTGGTACCTTTGGTGGATACTTCGGTGGTGGCATTGTTTCTTCCTCAGGTACCCCCACCGAACCAGAGGATGTGCTCAAGGCAGAGGACAAATGGTTTGAGCAAACCCTCAAGCTCATTCATCAGGCAGCAGCTTGGACAATTAGAGCATCAATGGCAGCCTTGTTTTTTACAAGATCTTCACTACGCTGTTTTCACCAGCTTCAGGAGAGACTCCGAATTGAAGCACACCAAGATCTCAATAAGATAATTGCGGTGGCAGAGTTTATGGCAGACACCACTCTGAGCTCAGCCAAGTTCGCTTCCAGAGCCATGGCTTCTTCAGTGGCAGCCAGGCAGCTACTTTGGCTACACAACTGGCAATCCGACTCCCACCGTACATGGAAGTTGGCATCGGCTCCATGCATGGGCAATAAGCTATTTGGCGACGTCCTTGAACCATACTTGACAGAGACCAAGGACAAGAGGAAGGTCCTCTCTTCAGCAGGGAAAAGGTCCGAGTATCACCCCAGGCCATACTTTTGCCCCTCATCTTTCAGACCCGAAACCAGCTCTTGGTTCTCTAGAGGTCAGAGGTCCTTTCCTGCTTGCCAAGAACAGTGTCCTGAAGCTTCCAGCAGGCAGCAACAGCCCCCCACTAAACAGCCCTTTTGAGGGGGAGGAGGTTGTTCATTCAAACGCTCGAAATGGGTGCCTCATCTCCCCCCCCCCATCGGAGGCCGTTTGGCTTTTTTTGCCTCCAGATGGGAGGAGTCTACATTGGATGCCTGGGTTCTTGAGATGGTCAGGTCGGGCCTCCAACTGGAGTTTTTCTCCCCACCTCCATGATGGTTTGTTTGCTGCCCCACCTCCAGGGACTGATCTAAATGGGCCCTACAGAATCGGCAATCCAACATCTCATGACCTCCTCTCCTCCATAGACCTCATGGAGGCTTATCTCCACATTCCTATCTGGCCTCATCATCGCCAGTTTCTCCATTTTTGTTATCAGAACAACCATTTCCATTATCAAGCTTTACCCTTTGGTCTCTTGCCGGCCCCAAGAGTCTTCATGAAAGTCCTGGCAGCTTTGGAAGCTTTGCTTCACACCATACCAGTGAAGGTCCAGTGCTACCTGGACGACATACTCATCCAATCCTAGTCGACCCACTCGGCCCATTGCAACCTTCACATCACATTGCAGAGCCTAAGAGACCACGGGTTCTTGATCAACCTAAGGAAAAATCACCTTTCCCCGATGACCAGGTTGCTTCACCTCGGGGTGGTTATAGATACATCACTTTGCGAGGTGTTCCTCTCCCCAGACCGAGGGGAGACCCTTCACAGTGGTGTCAGTCAGATTCAGTGTCAGAGCACTGTCCTGTTGTCTCTACTGTCCCAGATCCTGGGAAAGATAATCTCCTGCATTGGGATCATCCTGTGGGCCCGTCTCCATTCCCGGGAACTCCAATAGTTCTTGCTCCCCTTTCAACGCTCAGGAACCAGCCATTCTATCATAAGGGTACAGGTTCCTTCTCAGGTCCTTCGCTCCTTTGCATGGTGGCAGTCTCAGGCTCTAGAGAGGGGTCTTCCCTTCAAGGAGCCAGACAGGATCTGGCTCATCACAGATGCCGGTCTCCATGGCTGGGGAGCCCATCTGGAGGGGGAACTAGCCCAGGAGTGTTGGTCACAGTCAGAAAGGACATGCCCCATATAAATTGGCTGGAACTCAGGTCTATTTTCTTAGCCCTGAAACACTTCCGGAACAGGGTGGCTGCTCACCATGTGTTAGTCATGATGGACAATGTGGCCGCAAAGGCCCATGTCAACAGGCAAGGGGGGGGCAGGTCCAGGGCCTTGATGAGAAAGGCAGAGCACCTGGGGAGGTGGGTGGAGAGACACCTCCTTTCAATCAGGGTGGACCATATATCGGGAGTCGACAATGTCCAGGCCAACTGGTTGAGTTGGTCCACAGTAGACCAGTCAGAGTGGAGTCTATACCCCTCTCTGTTTCAGGACTTGTTATGCCGATTTGATCCTCCAACCGTAGACACCCCCCCCAGAATGCTCAATTGGGCAGGTTCTTCACCAGGTTTCTGACCCAGGGAGCAGAGGGGACCAATGCACTTTGGAGTGCCTGACCTCTGGATCTCCTCTACACCTTTCCTCCTCTTCCAATTATTCCGGTTGTAATTCAGAAGTTGTTGGAGGAAAAGGCAGAGCTAGTTCTCCTGGCACCCCAGTGGCCCAGGAGACTCTGGTTTGGAGATTTGGTGAACCTGTCTGTGGCCCAGCCATGGAAGATTCCAACATCCAAGATCTCCCTGCATCAGGGGTCATTACTTCACCCAAACCCCCAGTGGTTCAGCTTAACCATTTGGCGCTTGAGCAGCAATCTATGAAGGCTTCCAACTTTCCTGAAAAGGTAATTGACACCATTCAAGCTCTCTCCCCTGTTCTATCCTGGGAGGGATATGCTTCTCATCACCCTTTGGTGCACAGATTCCTAATGGGGGCATACAACCTTCATCCCCCTGTTGTACATAGGCTTCCCATTTGGGATTTACCTAAAGTGTTACAAGCTCTAACGAGGCCCCCTTTTGAGCCCCTCAGATCTGTATCTCTACAAATATTGTCCCTCAGGGCACAATTTTTAGTGGCTTTTACCTCGGGCAAGAGAGTGTCGGAATTAGCAGCACTCTCGGTACGAC